CTTGGTGCCTTCCCAAATTATAATTTAGAGCCATTTTAAAAATTTAATTTTAGCAATAAATAAATTCTGTTTTGTAGCATGCCGTACATAATAACTGATTTTAATATTTTATAAATTTAGAAAAGAAAAAAAACTTTTATTAACAAATATTTTTATCAATAAGTAATTCTTGTTTATTTAAATGAATCTTGTAGTAGATTTTAAAATTCAATATGGCGGACGACATACGCTTATTTCGAATTTTGCATCAAATTAAAAATAAAGTGAAATTCAAACGAGAAAATTTAAAGTACTTATCTAAAACTATTTTAAGGCAATTTTAATAAATTACAATTTATAAAAATTGCTTAAAATTATATTTCGCCTCCAGAGGGTAAACTCTGAGAAGAGATACCAGGATGCGTTCCCCTTGCGGAAACTTCCTGCTATCTTGGAGAGATACATCGACCTGCACGTCCGAACTTACAATGTTCACATGCCCTTGGATATCATGAACGTTGCGTTAATGCTTTGACAATGCTATAACGTCTATGTAACTAACAGAGGCGGATCAGGGCTCATCTTTGCCGGACTGACTAATCTTTGACCAGTACCCTGATTGATATCGTTTTAAGTCTTAAAAACTAAAAAATGAAGCAAAAGACATTGTCCCAACGTTGTATTATAATAATAAAAAATATTGTTTTTACTATTCACTTTTTATATATTGATTAGAACACATTGTTTTTTAACTTCAAAATTAATTAATTTTTTTCAAATATGTATTCAATAAATTTCCTGTGGATTTTCTGTTTACTTTGTTTGTCTAATTTGTAGTGCCCAAAAATTACACAGCCACACAAAAAAATTAAGTGTCTTGATCAGGGGTCGAGACATATGTATTCCTATGTATTTCGAAGCGCTGAATTCGAATCCGCCATCAGAATTTGGCCAATGGGTCCTGGTTTCGCCCTAACCTCAAAAAATACCCTAAAATCGTTAAAATGGTCACTTTTGAATGATCAAAATTGAATCTAACCGCATATTGATAATTTTCTGAGATCCCTTAATTTAAATAAAATATTCTATAAGCTTTTCAATTGAAAATTCATATAAAACATAAAATATATCGAACCTAACCTCAAAAATACATCTAAGATTTTAAACAAACAAATTATACCATACACAGCGCAATAAAAAATAGGTAAGCTCATGAAAGTTACAACTTAGGCGTTTCTATGATTGCTAATTACCAATCTGGTGTTAGTTTATCAAAATTAAAAATGGCGGATCCAATATGGCGGACAATATAATTAAAATTTGTTTGGATTGGCTTGAAAATCGTTACTCGGGGGTTTTCGGGGTCGCTGATGGCGAATCCCATGTCCGTTTCTAAAAATTCAAAATGACGGATCTAATATAGCGGTCTTTATTATTTTAAAGATTTTTTTAAATTTATTACTCGCGGTTTTTCGGGACCTTTGATAATTAGGATTAAGTCATCATTGTATTCTTTATATATATATATATATATATATATATGCAGTGCCGCTCAAAAGGATTTGCCCACCCTGCGGCATGCAAGGGTATTACAGAAAGTTTTGTATCTTTAATAATAATAAAGATAAAATCTTAATCAAATATTTATGTTAAAGCTTAAGTATTTGACTTTAAACGATGCCAAAAAGAAATTTAAAAAAAAAATTTATTGTTTAATTGCTGGAAATAAAAAAAAAATTTCACATTTTTTGAAAAATTTCAAATTGATACAATTTTTGAAGAAATCATCACATTTAAAATCTAGAAATGTCATTTAAAAGCATTTTTTGTCACCTTTAAAACAATTTTTTAAAAATTGCTCTACGATAATTTTTAAGAAAGATATGTTCATTTGTTTATAAAAATAGCCTATTTTTTAAATTGTTGGTAACTTAAGAACAATTAATTTTTGAAAAAAATTGTTAATGAAAAAATGTGCCTTTTTGTGCGTAGAATTAGAAAAAAAGTATTTAACTATTAAAAAAAAATTTTTTCATTTTTTCATTCTGTATATGGATGGGGCAAAATTCCTCAACTGTCCAGGTCAAAAAATGAATTTTCTCTAAACTTTGCTAAAATGTTACTATTATTAGTAGAAGTGTAAATATAAATTTTTTTTGAATTTGATAAAATGTTTTTTGAGTTATGGAGTTTCAAAATTTTGATTTTTTTGAAAATATATTTTTTTCAATTTAATATAATGATAAGTAAAATTAATCAAATTTAAAGTATGAATAGTGATTTTTAAAGGGGTTTTCACGGGCTATAAGCTGGTGATGAAAAAAGTTGTTTTCTTTCAATTTGACCTTGAAATTCAAGGTCAAATTCTTAATTTCAATATATCTCAAAATCGATGTTTTTTTTCTATAACCTATCCCAATCGAAAGCTTACATTTTTTCCTATGAGCCATGCAAAAATCAGAGTGGGGCCATAGATCCTTTTGAGGAAAATAATAATTTATCATTATTTTACATAGAAAATGATGATTTATAATTAATTTCTTTAAAAATTTCCATTGTCCCACTCTGATTTTTACATAGCTCATAGGAAAAAAAGTAAGCTTTCGATTAGGATAGGTTAGAAAAAAATAAAAAACATCGATTTTGAGATATATTGAAATTAAGAATTTGACCTTGAATTTCAAGGTCAAATTGAAAGAAAACAACTTTTTTTCATCACCAGCTTATAGCCCGTGAAAACCCCTTTAAAAATCACTATTCGTACTTTAAATTTAATTAATTTTATTTATCATTATATTAAATTGAACAAAAGATATTTTCAAAAACATCAAAATTTTGAAACTCCATAACTCAAAAAATATTTTATCAAATTCAAAAAAAATTTATATTTACACTTCTACTAATAATAGTAACATTTTAGCAAAGTTTAGAGAAAATTTATTTTTTGACCTGGACAGTTGAGGAATTTTGCCCCATATATTTTTAAGACGAATAACATACTTATCAATGATAAAATCAAGTACAACATAAATCATCACTGTTAAAAAGAACAGTTAATAATTACACTTTTCAAATATTTAAATAACATTAAATATAAAACATTTATTTGTTTATAAACAATTAAATCAGTATTGTTAATAATTTTACTGTTAAACATTTTGAGAGTAAAAATATTAAATATTTTTTTCGTCGAAATGATTTGAAAAGTGTAATTATTAACTGTTATTTTTAACAGTGATGATTTTTGTTGTATTCGATTTTATCGATATGTATTGATAAGTATATGTTATTTGTCTTAACCCCTTGACTGTGGATGACGTGTATACACGTCATGAAAAAAACTGGCCCAAACAGTGGATGACGTGTATACACGTCATGGCCCGAACAAGAAAACATCTTAACGTATATTCGCAAAAATTTTTACTCGGGGGTTTTTGGGGTCGCTGATCACGATTCTGAAGTCAGATTTTCAAAATAAATCATTTTTCATCCAAAATGGCCGCCAAAAATTTTGAAAAATTTCAAAAGTGGATAAATTCTTTTAGAAATTCTTACTCGGGGATTTTTGGGGTCGCTGATCACGATTCTGAAGTCATATTTTCAAAATACATAATTTTTCATCCAAAATGGCCGCTAAAAATTTTGAAAAATTTCAAAAATGGATAAATTCTTTTAAAAATTTTTACTCGGGGGTTTTTGGGGTCGCTGATCACGAATCTGAAGTAAGATTTTAAAAACAAATAATTTTTCATCCAAAATGGTCGCCAAAAATTTTGAAAAATTTTAAAAGTGGATAAATTCTTTTAATAATTCTTACCATTTAAACTTTGAAAAGCTAATAACAAATTCGTAATCAGCGACCCCGAAAACCCCCGAATAACGAATTTTAAGCGTATTCAATGAATTTTTCAAAATCGTGTCCGCCATTTTGAATTTTAAAAAACTAATGTCAGATTCGTAATCAGCGACCACGAAAATCACCGAGTAACGATTTTTAAGCGAATCCAATGAATTTTTCAAAATCGTGTCCGTGCCATTTTGGATCCGCCATTTTGAATTTTTGAAAACTAACACCGGAATCGTAATCAGCGACCCCAAAAACCCCTTAGTACCTATTGTCATGAAAATTTATTTACAAGAAGGTCTTACACATTTTGGGACCATTTTGTTATATTTTAGCTACACACTGAAGGGGTTAAAAATATATACAGAAAAAAAAATGTAAAAAAAAAAATTTTTTTCAATGCTTAAATATTTTTTTTCTAATTCTACGCACAAAAAGGCACATTTTTCTCCCTAACAATTTTTTTTAAAAATCAATTGTTCTCAAGTTACCAACAATTGAAAAAATAGGCTATTTTTATAAACAAATGATCATACATATATTTCTTAAAAATTATCGTAGAGCAATTTTTAAAAAATCGTTTGAAAGGTGACAAAAAATGCTTTTAAATGACATCTATAGATTTTAAATGTGATGATTTCTTCAGAAATTGTATGAATTTGAAATTTTTAAAAAAAAGTGAAATTTTTTTTATTTTTAGCAATTAAACAATAAAAAATTTTTTTTTTAAATTTCTTTTGGCATCGTTTCAAGTCAAATACTTAAGCTTTAAAATAAATATTTGATTGAGATTTTATCTTTATTATTATTGAAGATACAAAACTTTTTGTATTGCCCTTCCATGCCGTAGGGTGGGCAAATCTTTTTGAGCGGCACTGTATATTGGCTTTAGTAATTCTTTTTAACCGAAGACGGATAGGTGACGTACAATATTTAAAAATCCAAGATTACCTAAAAAAGAGACAAGATCAAATTTTACAGACTTTAAAAGTGCACTGACAGAATCAGAAAATATATTAACAACAAAGTACAAACGTATCGTGAATAGTGGAAAGGGATCCAGAGCGGTAGTCATTTCAGTTCCCGAATTATTACAAAAATTAATAAAGATATTGTTAGAGGAAAGAAAGAAATACATTTCACTAGAAAATGACTATGTTTTTGCTATTCCTAACAGTAAAATTAAATGGGGGCAAGGTGATGTTGCAATTCGTTACTTAACCAAAAAAATGAAGTTGCAATATCCGGAAGCAATGTCTAGCAACAAATTTAGGAAACCGATTGCTACAGTAGCTCAAATTCTCAACATGTCCAAAGAAGAAACAAGCCAATTTTCGAAATTTATGGGTCATACTGAAAAAACACATGCAGAATTTTATGAGTAAGTTAGTAATTTAGAAAAATATGCTTTAAGTTTTAATGTACAATATATTAATATTTATTTCCAGGTTACCAGTTGACATATATCAGACGGCAAAAGTTTCAAAATTATTGATGATGATAGAAAAAGGATCACTGCCTGTAGAGTACAAAGGAAAATCCTTAACTGAAATTGATTTTGATAAAAATTTGGAATATGCAGAAGAAGGTACCGAAGGTAACAAACAAATTTTATCATACTAAGTTTGTTTTAGCTAATTCTGACATGTTCTTTTACAGATCATAATGATAAACCCTCTGAATCAAAAGTTATTAAAAATACAACTAACAACATCACCTCATCCAATGTTGATACATATACACAATAGTGAAGGTACAATTGTAAACAATACAAAAAAATAATATCTTCATATAAAATACTCTTCCAAAATTTGTAGTAGAAATATTACTGTTTAAATAAGTGACTGACATTTATTTAGCTTGTAAATCTATTATTTCTAAATGCTTACAATTTAGAGAGCTTATTTGAGATGAAATGGAAAACTTAATTAAATTAAATTTTATTTAGAAATTTTATTCACGTACCATTAATCATAATAAAAATATATTTCTGAGAAAGTACAATAAATAATAACAATTTATTTAAAATGAAAAATAAAGAGTAACAATATTTACGTTTCAGATATCGACTTAAATCATGATAGTAATCCAAATTCATACACAACGACAGTTCCAAAGAAGCAGAAAATTAAAAAATCTGGTAAGCAATATACACATTTGCATACAACTGAATTGAGTATTCAATTAAAGAAATAAATTTTTTTATTTGTTTCTACAATAAACTAAAAAAAGATATTCAAGGCTAAATTTTTTTCAGGATGGACGAAAGATGAATTAGAATCAATGAATTCTCACTTTATGAATTTTATTGAAAAGGGAAATTATCCGTCCACAAAAGAAATTAAAATATTTGTCAAGAAACCGGAAGTAGGAGAAATATAGCACAAATAAGATCCAAAATACAACATTTAATAGGAAAATGCGCTAAGTAATTTGTTATTGACAAATACTTTTCACTGTAAATATCAACGCTATTTTGGAGTAGGTTATGTGCAGATAAAGATATATATTTGTTTTATTTCAATTAAATTAATAAATGTAAACGTATATCATAATTAATACACTATTTGTACTTTCAGTCATTTTTCACGTAAACTGCAATAGCAATTTATTTATAAACTTTAGTTATTTTAATCATACCTGTAAGAAATTATTGAAATAAATTATTAAAAATATTTGCATCAAAAAGCATTATTAAGATAAACGCTGTTGTCTATTAACAGCATACTAAAATTATTTCAAAAACGTAAACATAACCAATACGTTTCTCTCTTACAAATATGGCAACACTGCTAGAGGTACGTACGTCTGAAGAGTAACCCGCTTCTCTATATACAGGTGAGGTGCCTTCGTATGTTCTGTATCTATTAAATGTATATCATAAAAATATAAAAAATCTTTACCCCTCTTTTGACAAACTTGTCAATAAAACCCCCCACATTATATATTTGCATTAAATTTTTAAGTATTTTTAAAAAAAATAAGGGAGGCGAGAACGTAGGGCTCACGACACGGAGGTGGCAAAGTACTATCTACATATACATATGGTCGGTATCACGTCAAAAGTTCAACCAAAAAAAATGTTGTCCAATTATTCCCAAATTTTTTTTATGATATGCCCTATAGGTTAGTAATTTGTCGGATAAATTTTTTTGAATTTTATAAAAAATTGTTTGAGGGGGAGGGGGTAGAAGTTCTGAACTTTTGCGTGACACGCTCCACTTTGATTATTTCTTATAATTAGAGGAAAAAATTTTAAAAAAATTAGGATATGGGCTTTTTAGATTTTTTCATGGGCTTTCGAATGGCACAGTCTATTTTCAAAATTTTTTTATTTTGACACAAATTTTGATAAAATTAAAATAAATTTTCACTATTTACATCTTTGGGTCCATTTTTTCTTTTTCCTTTTATTTAAAAAAAAACTGAGCTTTTTTCTAAAGAAATACTTGTTTTCCAAAAAACCTTTTTTTTTGTTTTCAAAAAATGAATTTTTGAATATAGCGCATCACGTCGTCGCGCCGCAATTTAATTTATAAAACGTTACATTGAACTTTTTTCTGCATTTTACAGGGTTGAGACTGACATTAGAATAATATAATGCCTGCATTATAGTTTTTCTATTTTTTTTAAATTAAAAAAAAAATTAATTTTTATAATTTTTAACAAAATTAAAAAAAAATTTTTTTTTAGACTTTTATTTCTAATTTAATGCCTACATTCTATTTATTTTCATTTCTTCCAATTTTCTTTATTTTTTGTTGTTGAAAAATTTCCTCCGATTTTTAAATATTTCAAAATACTGATTTCGTTACATTTTCAAAACGGGTATTTTATTTTTTCTTTTTGTTATCTTTTTTACTTTAGCTGTCTTGACTTTGTCTCTGTACTTTTTGTTTTAGTGCCCTTATTTTTCTAATCTTTTGACTCGACAGGATATTCCTACAAATGATGAAAAATTGTTCCTTAAAAAAACTTCGTTGGGTTTAAATTATGTGGAGTTTCCAGCATTAAAAGATTCAAAAAGTAAGGGCACTAAAACAAAAAATGCAGAGCCAAAGTTGAGAACAGCTAAAGTAAAAAAAGCCAACAAAAAAATAAAATACAGGCATTAAATTAAAAATAAAATTGTAAAAAAAATTTGTTAAAAATTAAAAAAAATTAAATTTTTTTTTAATTTAAAAAAATAAAAAAAACTATAATGCAGGCATTATATTGTTCTAATGTCAGTCTCAACCCTGTAAAATGCAGAAAATAGTTCAATGGAACGTTTTATAATCTAAATTGCGGCGCGACGACGTGATGCGCTATATTCAAAAATTCATTTCTCGAAAACAAAAAAAACGGTTTTTTGGAAAACAAGTATTTTATCAGAAAAAAGCTCAGCTTTCATTTAAAAATAAAAGGAAAAAGAAAAAATGGACCCAAAGATTCGAAAAGTTAAAATTTAGTTTTATTTTCTTAAAATTTGTGTCAAAATAAAAAAAATTTTGAAAATAGACTGTGCCATTCGAAAACCCATGAAAAAAATCTAAAAAAAACCATATCCTAATTTTTTTTTAATTTTTTCTCTAATTATAAAAAATAATCAAAGTGGAGCGTTTCACGCAAAAGTTCAGAACTTCTACCCCCTCCCCCTCGAACAATTTTTTATAAAATTCAAAAAAATTTATCCGACAAATTACTAACCTATAGGGCATATCATAAAAAAAATTTGGGAATAATTGGACAACATTTTTTTTTTGGGTGAACTTTTGACGTGATATCCACCATATATATATAGATAGTACTTTGAGTACTCAGTACTTTGCCACCTCCGTGTCGTGAGCCCTACGTTCTCGCCTCCCTTATTTGTTTTAAAAATATTTAAAAATTTAATGCAAATATACAATGTGGGGGGTTTTATTGACAAGTTTGTCAAAAGAGGGGTAAAGATTTTTTATATTTTTATGATATATATTTAATAGATACAGAACATACGAAGGCACCTCACCTGTATATAGAGAAGCGCGTTACTCTTCAGACGTACGTACCTCTAGCAGTGTTGCCATATTCGTATTTCTCATTCTGTAGAAAATCACCTTTATAATAAGCCTAAAAGCGTTAATTATTTTAGAAGTTATTAAAATTTCTGTAAAACATTAAAAATGACGATTTTTCAAAAGTATCTAAATAAAATGTTGGCCAAATAACTTCTGAAAAATCTTGTTTGATTCAAAATTTTATCATCTGTTAAAACATAAAAAAAATTTAGTTTTACTACATTATATGATTTAAAATATTTTTCATTCACCTGAAAATGGATCACGGTGCGTCTAGTCAAAATTAAATGAAAAATGATATTACCTCAAATTTTTTTGTTGATTCTGTATTCTAGCCCTATATAGACATATCTTATGAAGAGAGGAAAATTGTAAGTTTAGCGCTTTTTTTAACGACGTCAATTACATTTTTTGATAATTTTTAAATTTTTCAATATATTTTATATTATTTTACTTCCTCATAGAGGAAGTATTGTAATATCAAAATTTTTCGAGTTCGATTTTTTGACATATCTTTAAGTTATTCGACCTCAGGAGTTCAAAAATGACATTTTTAAAAAATGTCATTCCGTATGTGTGTATGTGTTTGTAAACATCACATTTTTATAAATATCTCAAAATCATGAAGAGCTTTTGGGTTGAATTTTTTTTTAAATTGTAGATCTTACCTGCGGACATAAAGTGAGTAGTTTGTGATAGATTAATAAAATTTAACTAAATTTTTTTGGGATTTTTAATTTTCCAAAGAAACATTTTTTGCCCATAACTTTCAAAAAATGTTGGGATACCTATTTAAATGTTTTTCCATAATTTTGTAGAGTTTTTTTAGACGCATCTTTTGAGCCCTAATTGAACATTTTTCGTCTATATTAACCGGAGTTATTAAACTTTTAAAAATCAAAAATTTTGGAAAATAAGACTTTTTTGAAAATTTTGTTGAAAAACGTGAAAGTAACTTTAAAATTATCATTTTCAACTTGTAGAGCATTAAAAAACGCTTCGATTGACCTATTTTTGAACCCAATTCGATAATAAATTTCGAAATTATTGGCATTTTAAAAACCAAAAATTTTGGAAAATGACATTTTCTCAACTTTTTTGTTTGAAAATTTTTATTTAACTATTAAATTATTGTAACTATCTTGTAGGGTATTTAAAAATACATTAATTGACTCAAAATTCAATCACTTTTACCATATTTATAAAAAGTTATTCATACTCTCTAAATCTGAATATGTGAAAATTCACATATTTGTACTTTATAAGTCGTCTTCTCGATCAATAAGTGCATATATGCACTTATAATAAGTGAAATTTCACTCAGAATAAGTGAAATTTTACTCAGAATAAGTGAAAAATTCACTTATTTATAAGTGTATATGCACTTATTGATCGAGAGGACGACTTATAACGTACAATAAGTGAAATTTCACATATTCAGATTTAGAGAGTATATTTATATTATTTTTATCTCCATGAGGAAGTAAAGTGTTCATGAAATGAGCACCAAAATTATAAAAAAATATACAACTTGGCAGTGGTTTTTCTGTTATTATTACCTCTATGAGGAAGCAAAGTGTTCATGAAATGAGCACCAAAATTATAAAAAAATATACAACTTGGCAGCGGTTTTAAACTTTTAAGGGCTACTCTAGTTTACAATACTCTTCACTTATAACCACGCTTTTTTTAATATAATTAAATTATTGTTTCGTTTTTATCAAATCAATGTTAGCGGAGCTAACCGAAACTAAACAATAACAAAGCATACACTGAATGTGAAATACACACGGAAAAAAATTTTTACTGTGGGGAACAGCTAATTTCAAAAATAAATAACATAAAGAATCTATTCAACTAATTTAGTGAATGATTTCCAATGCAGTAGTCAAACTGTTTCTCTGATATAAAGAAAATGAATTTCACTGGTCAGCCATATTGGAAATATTTGACAGTTTACCATTCTCATAAAAATGTCTCTAAAATCACAAATGTCAAATTTACATTTCTTACCTCTAAATACGTATTAATTTACTAATTTTACATTTTATTAGTTATAATATAAAAAATATAATTAATAGAATTTGAATATACGCTTTGAACATTAATTTAAAAATTTTTTCAATCAAGTGTTATTTTGAGGTTATGTTGTTTTCAAAAGGTAACTCAAGAAATATCATTTTCGCCAGATCAGCGAAAATGGATTATCGCTGTAGCCAAATCAGTGAAACTTATAGCTATTATAGTGATTGTTATCTCTA